TATAATAAACCAGTGACTCCAGAATAACAATATCGAAACCTTACCATGGCCCAGCTACAGTCCAGATTTAAACCCAATCGAGAATGTATGGGGGGTTATTATAAAACGGCTTGTATCGGCGTAATTTTGTACCTCAAAATGCTGAAGAGCTATGGCAACAGCTTTGGAAAGACAATTTCATAGTTTCTTTTACGCAGATGGATATACTATAGAATATTATTTTAAATTTGCATAACTAAATTTATTATAGTTTTGTTCTTCCACACCCTCGCTTTCTTTCGAGAGTTTCGTGTTTCTTTCATTTTTTATTAATAGAAAAACTGTGGTTCTGCTTACGATAAAATGTTTTGCTGTCTCTGATAGTGTCCAGTTATCTTTTAATTTGGTTACAATTCTTGCTTTAATATATTGTTGAGTTAAGTCGTTTGTTTTATTCCTTAATAATAATAAAAATAATTACAACAACCCTATTTTATACATATCATTTATATACTCTTTATAAAATGCAAGAATTCAAAAAAATATAAAAATTTAGACCTTAATAATTACTATCTGGGCCAAAATTAACCGGCCACCTTAAAAATGGGTAATTTTTTATTTCTTATATCTCTTAAACCTGTTGTCCTATTTAAGTAATTTTTTAATATGTTATAGCCTTATGAAACAACAATATCGTTATAATAATATGGTTGCTAAATAGGCAAACGTTTGTATGAACCTGTGGAATATTCTAGCATAATATTGAAATGAAAACTATAGCCTCATGTTTTCTCAATATTGTGTTTTTTGATTTATTCACTTATGTTGGATAATACACAGTTAGGTAGTTTAACAACTAGCCTTGTTTTTCACCAATACAGACGATTTAACTCTAATATGCTAACTGGACTATGGCGGAATGAAAGAATATACTGTTTTCAGATAAGATCAGAATAGCCCTAAAAGGTCCAGATGAACGCCAACGTGTCTATAGCCGTCAAAATAAAAGGTTTGGTGCATGCGCTATAATCGAAACAGTAATTTACCGAGGAGGGTCAATAATGATTTTGGGATGTATTTCTTACGAAGTGCGTACTGATATTGTTATGTTCGATAGAGGCAGTGTGAATACCCAAGTATACGTGCAAGAACTTCTTCAAGACCATGACATGCCTTTTGCACCATTCATTGGTGATAACTTCAGCCTAATGCATAACAATGCACATTGCCATACAGCACACAGTCCCGATCTTAACATAATTGAGCATATCTGGGACAACCTCAAAAGACGGGTAAGAGCAAGAGTACCAGCCCCTGCAACCTTTGAAGAGCTGAAGACAGCTGTGGTAGAGGTGGTAATAATCTGATATCCACAATATAATGAATGGATTGCCAAACCGGCTCCAAGAAGTCCTAAGGGCTAGAGGCGGCAACACCCATTAGTGATCCAATTTTTTTCAATTAGACTTTGATTTTCAAAATATTTTTCTTTTGAATTTTGTTCGAAGATTTTATTCATTGGATTTTTACTGTAACAAATGACTTTTTTTCAAAAAGATTATTTTTTGTCTTCCGCGGAGATAAAAATTGATATAAAACATATCTAGTTGTTAAAGCACCTTACTTTTGTATTATCCAAAATAAGCGAATCAATCAAAAAATAAAATGTTGAGAAAGCATGAGGCTACAGTTACGATTTAATTTCAGTATTCTACAAATGCTAGAATATTCCACAGGGTGATGCAAAAACACAGTATTCAGTACACAGGATGATTCGTACACCCGGTATACAATGAAAATGTACCTGTTTAGCAACAATATTATTATATAGGTATTCTCAAGGAATGAGGCTATAACATATTAAAAAAAAACACTTAAATCGGACAAAAGGTTTAGAAGATATAAGAAATCAAAAATTGCCCATTTTTAAGGTAGCCAGTTAGTTTAGGCCCAGAGTGTATTACTTATGAATTAACATATGTAATCAATTCTTTGTTGTCTTTTTGTTTATTTTATTATTTGTCTGTTACAATAACTATAATATAATGTCAGACCAATTAAATACACTGCTCAAAATGATCAAATCTTTACTAAGAGTCCTATCAGTTTTTCTAGGAACCAGCTGTACCTATGTTTTGTATAATAATATGTGCTCTATTATCATTTTTTTAAACTAAATGTTTTGTGCGATGTAAATTTTAATTGTAACGGCAAAAAAAACACTTTTAAATAAAATTCGCTAGTCAATAGGCAATTTCTGATTATATATTAAAAATAATTAATATTAACTCTGTACCAACATAATCATGAATATATTTTTTTGTTTTAGGGTGATCTAACGCCAAAAAAACTTCCTTCACAATGGCTGTCTTCTACCCACTTTGTTTTTCAATCCGACGACGGAAGTCTGTCCATTTTAGATACCAGTAAAAATTTTAGCGTCACTGTTTTGGTTACCAATAATACCTTAGTAAGTAATTTTCTCGAAATCTTATCTTAGTAATAAATAAGTTAAGGTATAGTTGTATGTATACCAATGACCACAACAACGACAGAGGACAAGACAAGCAGAAGAAGAATCTTCTTCTTCGGGTTCCCTCTCCTAGCGGAGGTTGGAAATCATCATCGCTATTTTAACTTTGTTGGCCGCATTTCTGAATAATTCTAATGAGCTGCAGCCGAACCACTCTCTCAAATTTCTCAGCCAGGACATTTTGCGTCGTCCTGGGTTTCTCTTCCCTTGTATCTTCCCTTGCATAATCAACCTCAGTAATACGTACTTCTCACCCCTCATTAAATGTCCCAGATATTGAATCTTTCTAATTTTAACAGTTTTTATGACTTCACATTCTTTCTTCATTCTTTGTAACACCTCTATATTAGTTACTTTTTCAATCCACGATATTTTATGCATTCTCCTGTAGCACCACATCTCAAAGGAGTTTAATTTTTTGATTTCAGACTGCTTTATTGTCCACGCTTCCATGCCATATAGTAAAGAAGAGAAGACGTAACAACGTAGCATTCTTGTGCGAATCTCTAGATTAAGGTTACGGTTGCAAAGTAAAGAAGAAGAATATAGGCTATTAAAAAAAACACAGAATGTTTTGGAAGAGGAAACAAGAAAATATTGAACTGAATCTAAATATACAGAAACTAAAATCTAAATCTAAATCTAAATAAAACCATTGATTTAAAACAAGAAATTAACCCCCTCTGTGGCTCAGTGGTAAGAGCGCCTACCTTTAAACCTAAAGGTCGTGAGTTCGAATCTCATCTGGGTGGAGAAATTTTCGTTTATTAAAAAATTAATGAATGAAAATAATTTCTATCCATGTGCGATCGGTACTCACCGGAGGGACCGCAGACGTTCGGATACAATTAGCGTCTCTTAGCAAAGACAATGATGACGACTTTGCTAAGTATCCAGTTTTTAATAATTTTTGTAACAATATGATAAAAAATTATATATATATATATATATATATATATATATATATATATATATATATATATATATATATATATATTGTTATGATATGTAAAATCGAGAAAAATATTGGTTTGTTTAAAATATTTCAAAGTTCAAAAACATTAAAATAATTCAGATAAGTAGGATAATACCCAACACAACATTTCGAAGAAGGAAAGTCTTTAAATTTTTGGATTACCTGTATTAAACAAAATGTAAGCTATGCATAAATTATTTTCTTTGTTATAATATACTTGAGTGATCCGCATAATTTTAAGTGAAATCCAAAGACAATTGAACCGGGTTTTCCAAATACATTAATGCCGTGATTAAGGACAATAGAATAGATTTTAGAAAGATAGGTTTTTATTAGTTTTTAAGAATCGTTGAAAAATATTATTTGTAAATAAGTTTTAGGAAATTTTATAATTATAGGTAAAATTTTGTTTGTTATCGAAATGAAAAAATGGGAGAATTGTGACGAGCTTTGATTGGCGAAGATTGAAAAAGGTGGGATAGGTATGTAGGAATGAAAGTTTAGCTAGATTTTTGAGAGAAAAAAGATAGGCAGTTGGTTTCCAAGGGTGCAAGGCGAACGGCCGTTGTTCTCGGGTAGTTTCCCAGAGGTAGAAAGCAGTAGCAGTGAAAGTTTGTGAGTTTTCGTGTAGTTAGTGTATCTGACAGAAGCTGATCCAGTAAAAGATTGTAAGTTATATTTTCTACTTATATTCCAAGAGTCACTGTTTAGGCCAACGAGAGATTCAGTTTATCGTAAAGAAAAGATATTCCAAGAGTCATTTTTAACTCAGGCCAACGAGAGATTCAGTTTATTGAGAGAAGAAGAAGCTAGCATAATTTGAACGATTCGTGCATTTGAAGGAGATCATTAAGAACGATAAACTTGCAATAATTTGTTGTGATATTGCTGATTACCTAGGGAGCGGCTGAGAGTAGATAATATAGTCTACAAGGAACAAGGATTTGGACCACTCATCATCAGAGAGAGATAGTTTTGTTTTCTGCAGTTTTTCTTTTATTGATAACACAATTTTTACACTTAATTTAGAAAGGATATAAATATTTGATTAGGAGAGTTAGAATAATTTGGGATTTTGAGATTTCAATTAATATTGTTTGTACCATTAATTTTGAAGGTTCACGTACGTAGAACAAAATTCTGAGAATCATTATATGAGATTTTGTTTATTGAAAATTTTTGAGTGTGAATTTTATTTCATTATTTTATTTCAATATATAATGTTAGATCCTATATGTTTTTTATTATTCCGGTATTCTTTGGACCTTACCTTTCACATGTAATAGCATAGATATTGAAGCACGAATTTAACCCTGAGATAAGAGAATTAAAAAGTGTGATAGAGTCATAATCATATCATTTAAATAATTTTAATTAATTAATTAATTAGCTAATAAATTGCTTGGCGCACCAAGACTTTAAATATCACAATTATATATATATATATATATATATATATATATATATATATATATATATATATATATATATATACTTTTTCTATAAATTTAGCTTACCAAATTATTTCCTCTTTTCAGAGACAACTCAACGTTAAAGGATATCAGTGCTCAAAGGATCTCAGCTACGTCCTATTTCAACATAACCTCAAATCAGTAAGTAGCCATTTGTAATTCAGCCGATTCCTAATTTATAATTCTGAGAGAGATCATTGTGAAATGCGACGCTTGATATTTGCCAAGCGTTTTCCACCAAAAACACGTTTTTCGAATGGAAATTTATTTCTTGTATGGAAAAATTTTAATGTGGAAAATCAAATTTTTATATATCATTGGGAATTATTTAAACGAGACTTAACTTAATATTGAAAATTTGTTAATGATATGATAAGCATTTACCAGGACGATTTATTGGAGAGTAGGTGTATACAGTTGATTCAGCGAGCAAATTTGAAATGGTTAAACAAATTCAGTGAAGGTATAGAGTATTTTAGAAAGAGAGAGAAAATATATCTTCTGTCTCTCTCTCTTACCTATCTTACATATGTAATGATTTTGCTGATTCACTCCCGGACAAATTTCCAACGTCGAAAGCGCATATAGAAGTATAACTTCAACAATTTACTTGAAATTATCTGTTTTGCTCGTGTAATATGGTCGCTGTCATTTATTTTTCATTTGCTGCGAAGCAACCAGAAACTGCTTACATTTTATGCCCTTGTATAACACACCAATAAGCACATCAATTCTTGCCTGCAAAATACCGCTCCAAAAGAATCCTTAAAGCGTTTGTTAGTAAAATTTGTAGTAAAATTGTTTTCGCATAATTCATGTAATGGGACATGCATGTCCCATTAGTCTTTTTGCTTGGGTAGTGTACCATCAGTTTTAATATTAACTCTAAATAGTGATAGACAGTTCTAATCTTTGCAGTTCCTGAATTATGGCCAGACTTCTTTTAACAAAAAGAATTGGAAAACATCGTTGAATAGCTAAATGACAAATATCTACCAAATGAGTCTCATGAGAGTTCAGATTAACAAGAGCATTCTTCTCAAGAGGAAGATTTTAAAAGAGATCTCGAAAGGAAAAATTCTCAAGAAGGAGAGAAGGAGAAGTCAGATCCAGATGAAGACCAGTCTGGTCTCATAGTATGGGAACAACCTTACACGAACTTTAAACCAAAACATGATATTCCAAATTAAAGGCAAGGACTAGTCACTTTGTATGTTGGACAAAATTAGTTGGACTGAGTTATGTGTGTATATATTTGAGTGATGTAGAATTTTCAAATGCCAAAAGAGCATGGTGAATGTCAGGGACCATTTGCCAAAGCAAATTTCTACGTGGAGGAGATGCCATAGATGTTATCTCAACAAGAAAGACACGAGTTATTCTTGTATTAGTAATGGGACACATTGGTCCCAATATGAAACACTACTGGAACACAGTTTTCCCATGCCCTAACAAAGAATTTAAGGATATTAAAAAAATAGATCACTTTGGACACTATTATAAGACTATTGATCAAATTTTTTTGTCCTGATAACTTCAATAATCATAATTGACTTATCCTCCCTGTCAAATAGAAAATCGTTGTTTTTTTTTCACTTTTCTTGTCTATAACCTTAAAACGGTTCATTCTGGAGCAAAGTCCTGATCAAATAATGGCGATAATTATGAGACGCTTATGAAAATATAAAATAATTAGTAAACATCAAGAAAGAGGGGAAAAACAACGCCTGATAGGAGAAGTCTTGGGAAAGAACTGCACTTGGATCCGAAGAAATATGAAGTAATCTGTACTGACAGTTAGCTGAGAGTAATGAGCTCTTTAGCAGTCGGTGCAGTATCAGAAATAAAAAAGGTCTTTCTTATTTTCTTATTTTTATTTTAAACAACTTTCTTTCAACCTTGATTAATGTTTCGTCTATCAGAAACACAGTGGGGACAATGAAGTCAGTAATCACTTTTTGACATGTCAGCCAAGAGAAATGAAGTTAAAACTGAAACTCAGACTAAATTTAAAAAAATTATGCGAAACAATATGGGTTGAGCGCTATGAAAGCGTAATCCAGTTTAGATCTGGCATTTTACATTATAATTGAAGCACTAACATATGGACTATATCAACATGGAAGAAACCCAAGGCTACACTTGCATCAACTTTCCCTAATTCTTTATGCACATCTGAGTTTCTAGTGTCAATGATGTCACTGATTGGCATACTAAAATTAACATTGCCTCTAAACCAGCTTCTACAAACAAAATCTCTTGATGCTAACCTGACGAATTGGACCTTGAAGTGAAGGTACTTAGATTTGTAAGTAGATAGACTAAGGGAGCCAATCATCCAGGTAGCCCAGAAGAATATTACAGACGTTCAATTTACATTTTGTATTATTTTTTAGTCCTGATATAGTCCTTATTATTAAAGGTCGGTCAGATAGCTCAGCGGGCTGTGCGGCTGCCTCTCATTCGCTTCACTGTCGAATGGTTCAGTGGATGTGGGATCGAGCCCCAGCTCGGTGTACAGAAAACAAAAAGTCTAACGCAGCAGTTTAAAATTCTAGATGAATCTGCGGCTTAGACTAGAATATGCTGGGATCTGATCGGCCTATGGTGGAGCAGTACGGCAAGAGATAAGGGCTTGCGGCTCAGTGATACTCCTCCATAGATCCCTACCGGACGGGCGTAACGCCTAAAAAAACCGGATATATATATATATATATATATATATATATATATATATATATATATATATATATATATATATCTATATATATATATATATATATATATATATATATATATATATATATATATATTATTTTTTAGTCAGTGGGACTACAGCAGAGAGGTCCTTCTCTACGTTAAGAAAAGTGAAGACTTGGCTGAGGGTAAGTCAGGGAAACCCCACTCACAGGTCTTTGCCTCCTTCATGTTCACCAATATATTGAAGTAGACACTAAAAAAGTAATAGAGCGAGTTGCACATCAGCGACCACAGACATATTTTTAAAAAATTTCCTTCAGGCATCGCTACAGTCTTACAATTTTTGCTAGATAGATACGCTGTTTTCGAGAAAAATTGACTTAAATATTTTCATACGAACACCGTTACTTTTGGTGGAAAGTTTTAGGGCGAGTGAAATAGATCTTTTAATCACTACGCGGAATTGGGCTTAGAGGAAAAGCGTTTTCTGGAGGAAAATAAAAATGAACGCGATGAAATTATCATTTATCAAGAACTCAGAGGTTTTCGTTGCCAGGAATTTCATTGTTTTCGTGGAATTGCGTTTCTGAACTTTAAAGGTGAAACGGGAAAAAATTACAGGAAAGTGCACACAAGAAAATTCCGTCAGGCTTTATTATAATTCTTTAAGAATTTATGGTAAGAATGTTCTTGGGAATATTTAATATCGAGTATAAAACGGAAAATAGGATTATTAAGAAAATCGTGACCCACTTTATTAGCCGTATTAAAGTGTTTTGGATATTTTTGTTGGTACTGCAGTTTTTTACATTAAAAAAACAGTATTTACCAAAAATTATGTAGGTGATACAAGGATTAAGCCAAGTAGCTCAGCCAATGCCGGTTTCAAGCCCGGATAAAGGAGGAGGGATGAGGACATGGGCTCATTGATTCTTTGGTATATATTGGAATCCCCTCGTGTATGTAATATATTGAAATCCCCTCATATATGTTTGAAAAATCGAACAGTATTTTTAATGCATTTCAGTTTCCTATCGTACAAGTTAAAATACGCAAAAACTATTTTCAATTCTTCTTAGGTCAGCTGGAGTTAATATAAACCATCTTAGAGTTGTTTATTTATTTCGTAACTGCGTATTTTTCCTCGAAAATGCTTTGATTTAAGCCGCCCGATGTACTGCGTTTTGAATAAATATTCTTGTCAAGAAGTGTTTTGTTTATTTCAAGTTATGTGAATTAATTTTAAAGATAATTTCATCACTTTCGTTGGAGCCGCGGTGAAGAGCGGTGGTCTTCATCCAAATTTTATGTAAAATTTGAAATGTCCCTCGTTGTTCGTTTTTTTTTTGAAGAATATGTAAAATATAGTAGCAGATTAATGATTCAGTTACAGTTTTAAGTGAGTTTTGAAATGTTGCCATTGTATCCTGTTGTACCTATTCCTTTTTTAAGAAGCCAAGTCCAGTTTAGTTTCCAAGGATTGTGTTCCAGTGACCCAATTTCCTTTTTGTTCGTGTGTCAGAGATTCCCAGCCATTGTTGAGTTTTTAAGAAGTTCAGTTTACAGCTCAAGTTTAATTTTTGTGAAACTCAGGTAACTTTTTTTGTTCTCAAATTTTAAAGTAAAGGCATATTATAACAATAATTGCTTTCGTAACAATTTAAATTTTTTATTTTTTAAAAAATTATAAATTTTAGGTTTTAACTTTAGCTGTCATTTTAATTTTTGTTTTAAATTTAATGTTAATTTATGACAGCTCGTTTTAGTATTTTTTAAATTGATTTGTTTTGTTTAAAAAAAAAAAGGTTAACCTCCATGCAATTTTGTAAGTTTTGTAGCAACAGAATTTGTAAACAGATGACACATGTAAGTTTTTTTGTATTTTTGTATTTTGCGACTATTTGAAGTAATATTTTTTTGCATTATCTTATTTTTGTAACTGTTTGTGGTGACACAACAATAAATGTCAAATTTTTTCTTAACATTTTGTTTATTTTCTTAACTAACCCTTTTTGAGTTTTGTTTGAAAATGATATTTTTTCATTTTTAATAATTATTTCTCTAGTTACAACTAGCTGTTGTAATGGTTATAATTAGGCACCTCGAAGTGGCGTTCTTTTTAAATTACTAGAGGTGATTCCTGTTTATTTTTGTTTTGTTTGTCCCAAGAGATTCATGACCTTTTGTTTCATATTTTTGTAGTCGTCCCAATCTAACCCCTTTGTCATTTACTTATCCACGACCCCAGCTCTCCTAATAAACCCTGAGTGCCGTTCGCATATGTTTCGATTATTTTGCTTGACCTACCAAAACCCCTTGCTTGCCCCCATAGTAATACCCCATGTGGTAGGCAAAATATGTATCGTTACAACTTTGGGAGGTAGCATAACTTTTGTTAACCCTGTTTCGTCGAGATGCCAGATTTGAAACTAATATTTTTCCATGATGCCGGAATTTTTTTTAAGTCTTCGATTACTCGCTTATTGAAAGCCATAGACCTACTGATGATGTATAAAATCTACAACTTCTCTAAATTTCTTCTGGTAACAGACCGAATATTGTTTTCCTGGCATGTATTGAATTTGGGCGCTAAATTCAAATGCAATTCGGATTTAGTGCGAATAGCCGAATGTACCCTATGGCCCAATGTGGACCACTTTCCCCTACGTATATTTGTAATGCGAACCACAAACTGCTATTTCAATAAAAAATTTAAAATAAAAACACCGCCAAGTATGCTGTCGAAAACCAAAATTGTCACAGATATGGGAAAGAAAGATAAAACAAAGAGTTTGGTGGTTCATGACCATTTAAAAGTTACATTAAGAGATGAGATGAGTCTAAAATAGTAAACAAACTGCATGTTTAATGTTATAAATTGAATTTAATTGAATTGAATTGAAAGACATAGACAAAATAATGAATATTCACGATAATTTGTCTTAGAAGAAAAAAAATTAAATCCTCTAATAAAACAGATTGCCAGCTCGTTTTTTCTAAATGTATATAATTAAGTGGCTGGCTCAGTTACAGAAAATTGTTTTCGAAATGAAGTTTTTGACTCATGCAGCAAACGACCCGCGACGTAATAACACAGTGTTCAAATGTGTGACATGAGATACCATCTACCATATTAATATTTATTGCTCAACAGATACGAATACATCAAAAACACGTGCAAATAATTAGTACTGACTTAAATCCAAATCGTTAATAAACGAATTCAATTGATGCCAATCTCGGCAATTTTCGTGTTAAATCTTACAGGAAATCACGCACATACAGGACTGTCTTTGCTCTAGAAACTTAATTTTCTTATAAGAGACTTAAATTGTTCCTTATAGTTTTACGCCACATTTTTTTTAAATTCTATTTTTTAATTATTTTAAATTAAAAGTCATGGAACCCATTATTTCTGAGGAGATGACCAAATTGATTCTCGGGGAATACATGTTATTCCAATACAATAACATGGATTTGTCTCCGGTCGCTCTACTCTAACCAATCTCCTACATTTTGTTAACGACAGGACGGAACAAATAACGGAGTACATACGAGGAGTAAGACGTAGAAAAATCATTAAGAGAGTTGAAGATATATTAACACTTTAAAACACTACACATGATCCAAAAAACAACACACGTCAACAATGCTTGGGCACATTAAAATAAAAACCCTCTGTTTATTCAGGCCGACTAAGAAGACACAAAGTTAACAACAACCAAAAATGCGACAATATACTTTTTGACCATGCGGAGAAGCTATTTTATAGGAAACTTAATCCCACTATGGAAAATGAAAATAAATCATATCCAAGCCAAGAAGAAATTTACAAGTTTTGGGATAATCAACTTTCAATGCTAGCTACACATAACACCAATGCTGAATGGATTAAATACACAACGAAGAACTGTCAGCATTACAATAAAATTTCTTAAGAACCCTTTACCACTGAAGAAGTCTCAAATACTATTAAAGAGCTTCATAACTTGAAATCTCTTGGATCAGACGGAGTTCAAAACTTCTAACAAGAAGACCTTTGATTCAGTGCCTCGTGAATGGTGTATAGATATATTAAAAATATATAAAGTCGATGATAGTATAGTGACCTTTTTAAAACATATAATGACAAAATGGAAGGCTACAATTCACCTCCAAATACGTGGTGAAATTACTATTAAAACTGAAGATATCCTAATCAACCGGGGCCTTTTCCAGGGAGACTCGTTGAGTCCACTAGCGATGAACCCACTAGCTCAGCTACTAAACTCCACTGACTTAGGTTTTAGCATCAAAAATATAATATTATTAATGTGGCAAAGCTTAATGATCTGCTTATATGCGTATATGGATGATTTGAAATTTAATGGCTTCCACTCGAAACCACCTAGATAAGACTTAAAAACTGTAGAACCTTTAGACAAGTACCGTATACTAAATATAGGTCAGAGGAAAGGTTTAGCCCGGAGGTTTTAATATGCAAGATGATCAAAACATCGAGGCAATGGGTGAAAATGATATGTACAAATCTCTCGGAATACACCAAGCGCAAAAAATTTACCATAGACTAATGAAAGCCGAACTAACTTCTGAGTTTGTACGAAGAGTAATACAGCTAACTCGGTCATATATTAATAGCAAAAATTTGTTTAAGGCATCAAATACGTACGACTATTCTGTGCTTAGCTACCTATTCGGTATTATAAAGTGGTCAAAACTGGATATAGAAAGTCTCCAGAGGAAAAAAGAGCACTAAGAACACTTCCCACAAAAGCTCAAAAATACCATCCAAGCATTGCAGCAGAGAGAACAACATTCACGAAATATCAAGTGGGAAGAGGACTTATGGCCATAGCTGAACAACTGAATAAACAGATTGCTAATTTAAGAATTTATTTTAAGGTGCAGACTGAGACATCTACTTTACATTGAGCAATTTGCGTAGTAGATAATACATCGCCGCTTAAACTGAAGGAACAAGAAATGCGTACGAAACACCTGACCTAGCAAAAAAAATCCTCGTCTGGATAAGTAAACCTCTGCATGAGCGACATCTCAATGTTTCCCGAGACTGAGGGTTTCCTACTTGCCATTCAGGATCAGGTTATTCCAACTAAAAATTACCTGAAATATACTGTTAAAGATTCTAAAGTCCAAAATGACAAATGCCGATATGGATTCCAAG